TAACTAAAACCAAACGGCCTTTTTTTCGGACCGATTGAAGAATAGGTATAAAAAGGACAAAGTTTAAATTCTACAAAACTATTGAGGTCACGCAATTAAATTATAGCTTTTTCCCTCTTAGGTCACATTCTTGTGTTAACATTTTAACAGTTATTTTTTCTCTCTTTGCACAGAAGCCATCACGCAGAACATTATCAAATCAAGAAATTTAGCTTATCTACTTCAAAAACCGTTGGCACTCTGTCGACCGCCTTATGATAATGGTTGCTCAGCGTCTGAAGAGACAATTTGTTGCACTTGTTGCATGCATTCTGATTGGTATACCGGATGGTAAGTTGATTCTTTCTTTCTTTATCCCTGCTATTCACACATTACTTGTTAAAAGGGTGGCCCCAACTAAAGTTATATTGATGCAATTAAAGTGTAAAATTTGTATCGGCAGGCCTTGCAAATACAACAATGTCATCTTCATCTGCAAGTGACATGACATCAATGGTGCATATGACGCCATCCCCATCTACAAGTAACATGACATCAATGATGAATATGACATCATCTGCATCTGCAAGCAACATGACATCAAGGATGAATATGACGTCATCCGCATCTTCAAGTGACATGAAATCAATGGTGCAGATGATGTCATCCCCATCTACAAGTAACATGTCACCAACGGAGCATGCGACGTCATCCCCATCGGCAAGTGACACGACATCAATGACGAATGTGGTGCCATCCGCATCTCCAAGTAACATGACATCAACAGTGCATATGACGCCATCCCCATCTGCAAGTGACATGTCATCAACGGAGCATGCGATGTCATCCCCATCTGCAAGCAACACGACATCAATGATGAATGTGATGCTATCCACATCTGCAAGTAACATGACATCAGTAGTGCATATGACGCCATCCCCATCTGCAAGTGACATGTCATCAACGGTGCAGATGATGTCATCCCCATCTACAAGTAACATGTCATCAATGGACACGACATCAATGACGAATGTGGTGCCATCCGCATCTCCAAGTAACATGACATCAACAGTGTATATGACGCCATCCCCATCTGCAAGTGACAAGTCATCAATGATGCAAATGATGTCATCCCCGTCTGCTACTGATACAACGACAAAGATGGCTGTTATGCCATCACCATCTGTTAGTGAAATGGTTCTGACGGCAACGCCAAAGCCTACGTGTTCTCCAGGATTTACTGGCGGGAATTGCTCTTTAAGTAAGTTATGAAATGCATTTAGATTTTGTTTTCTATACATTACCAGCCCCTATTAACAACGCGAATCGCTACTCTTTTTATTTCATTGTCGTAGATATTAATGACTGTCTACACGAAAACTGTTCAGGAAATGGTCGTTGTACTGACAAAGTAAATGGCTTTGTATGTGTTTGTGACGATGGTTACTTTGGAGAAAACTGTGAGAAAAGTAAGTGTCGTTAGATGTTCATTATGAGACTTTTAAGATACGAACTATTTGCTACTTTTACGATATAACAAAGAAATATCTGATTTAATTTAAGTGGTATCATTTCAAGGCAAAATACTTTTCTCTGTACGTGTCACTAGTTTTGTATTACTCAAAATTTTAAATTAAGCCCACATCTCTTTCATTTTAAAGTGTTTTCATGGTGGAGCCGTATCATAGGATATCATCGATGATTTTCGATAGCTTTCGTGGGTGAAAACGTTTTAGAGTTGAAGGCGATGGGCAAAAAGGAGAAATTACGTCTACTTCCATTGCCAGAAATCTGGGTCAAAAAGCCGGACGCGCGTGCGTATTGAGAAGTTAATGGCGGCGAAATCGTGTAACGAAATGTATGGGATTTCAACAAAAATCTAAAATACTACAAATACGAGTTAGATTATTCCTTAGCTCCGACTCGAAACATGTTCAGTAGAGATTAAGCTGTACTTCTAACATAACATTCAAAAGCTGTTTGTCTACTTACTTCCAGCAAAGTCAGCAATGTTCGATATTCGAGGCTAGCCATTACCTCAAGTCTCTTTCAAATATAGCGTAATCCATGGCAAAGGATCGCCGATTTGAGGAACTAGGGAGTCAACTAGCTCCGACTCGCATTAAATAAAGGGAAGTTCGAAGTAAGCAAATCGTCCATAAAAAGTATAGATCAATTATAGTATAGATCAATTTCTATAGCGCATTTCCATGTAAATGCTCTAATGCGCTTTACAACACTGTGCGGGGGACTTTTCCAGACTGCCGGCGGCAGTTTACAATTAATAAAGGAGAAATTTTTT